ATACAAATTGAAAAATAATTTGAAAAAAAAGAAAAATTGAAATTAAAAAAATGAAAATAAAAAGAAAATATTACAAAGCATAGAGGCTTCTCAATAAAGTCCTTGTAAGGTTCTCTCACATAAGAAAATCTACACTGGATTATTAAAGCTGGCATCCTGAAGGCAGCAGCAGTCCTCGATTAGGTGAAAATTACAAGTACAAATATAACCAAATAATATTTCTCATTCCCTGCTCTTTTATTTTGGTAATTAGATGATCTCTGCTCATATTGAGAGTAGACATATACTGATAAAAGGCATTTTGGGAAAATATAATCCAATTTAAATATCAATAAATGCTTCTGACATTACATTGGAAAAAATGCTGAATATGAAAATGTAAATGTATGGAATCTGCGACATATTGGATGTGAGATGCATCATTTTAAGTTTTTTTTTATTGAACACACAATAGAACAAAAACAGAGAGAAAAATACATCTTCTCATAAGGACTATACATTTTTGTACAATGAAAGTTGTGAAATTGCAAAAGAGTCACAAGAAAAAATATAAATAAAAAAACAAAAAAACAAAACTGGGGTTTTTATAAGGTGCAAGTACAACAAACATTTTATAGATCACCAGGCATACAATTAAAGTAACAAAGACCCTAGAGAGGAGCAAAGTCTAAGGCATAAATCAAATAAGCAAGAAACGAGATATATCTCCACAGATCTTTCTGGCTGTTTTGCTGGAGTACAATTTTTTAAGAGATAGGAAAAATAATTTGAAATCATTTATAAACCAGTCAAAGGAGGGTTTGCTATTTCTCCATTTACTACAATGAATATGATATTTACCCATTAGAATGATCATATTTATCATATCAGAGTTTAAGTTTTTTTTTTTAAATCATCCCTGCCTTTAATTTGAGGTTTTCCTTTTATATTATATTGTTCTGTGTGTTATCTGCTATATATTGACTTCCAAGGTTATTCGTATTATTTTCTATAATTTTTTCTCTTTTAATAAATTAAGAATCTATGGATATCTGGTTGTGGAGAACCCTCCATAGCCAAGATTTGTAGTTAAGTAACTCTGGAGCTTTGCCTAAGAGGCAATACTCAGGGTTAAAAAAGACAAAGGCAGCATATAGGTCTACTGTGCGCTTTGAATTGTGGGTAAGACATGTCTGCGCCCTGCAACATCCCGAGGATCACCTTACCTATGTGCCATAATTGAGTTATTTAACGTATCAACGAGGATTTTGAGCTGCAGACCAGTGGACATTGTTGGTTTCGTTTAAAAAGTGATTCTCAATATGTCGGAAAATACCCAGAAGGTCAGCGTTTCCGGAAATGCGCTCTCGAGAGCTGTGATTGCTGAAATGCTGGCGAAGAATTTCGAGAAACTGCCTGACATTGATCAGAAAATCTTCATGTACGGACCCTTGTATCTGGGGGGGAACGGCGGCCTGGCAGGATTGATATCCAACAGCTTGTACCGCAGGGCCCTGAACGTCTCCCAGGCCCCCATCACCTCCAGCCTGCCCATGGCCGTCCTGCCCTTCCTCACCACAGTAGCCCTGTACAACGCCACAGTGTCCAACCCCCTCATGGCAGGTGACCTCAACTGTCCCACCTGTGTGTTGATCCGAGGTGCGCTTGTTGGTGTGGTGGGTGGCGGGGTGTACCCTATCCTCCTGGCCTTACCTGTGAACATGGGGCTTGCAACCAGGTACAGCACCACACCGATGCCAGATAAGGGGAATGTGCTGCGGTACTGGGTGGATGTGTCCAGGCCGATCCTGAGGAGGATGAGGGCGGTACTGCTGCTCCAGGCCTTCTTCGGCATCTACCTGAGCTCCAGGCACTTTGAGACTTACACCAAACTGGCCCAGATAACATTTGGCCGAGGTGTAGAGGAACTGAAAGACTAAAATGTACCCAACCTGAAAATAAACACCTTTTATATTGACTGGCAGCTACTCGTGGGTTATGTGCTTGTATGATTAATTGATTGATTTTCTCCCCAGAAAATAAAACTAAGTGTGGACTACCTTTCTAAGATGTCAAAGTTAACATGAAATTAATTGCCTAAAATTTTAAACAGGCTTTTAAGATGATCTCTATAAGAATTAAATCATGAGATAAACCTAATGTGGCATTATAATAATCACTTTATGTTCTTATAAATAAGAGCTCAAACAATTAATCATCTTTAGAAACATAATTGCCAACATTTTTATAATCTACTAAGTAGTTAAACAAAGTGCCTAACATGCAGATTTATTACTTTTCTCTTTTTCATAATATTTTAACTCAATACTGCTTAATTTTGGACTGTTAGTTGGACAAAACAAGTAATTTGAAGAGGTTGCTTTCAGTTTTGGGAAATTATGAGGGGCGGTTTCTATTTTGTGACGTTTTAATGAGAATAATCAACTTATCGATACAGAAAATTGGATATTAAGTTAAGTTAGTTGCTGCCCTCTTTAAGACAGTGTTTAAAGTAGGCCTGCAGCTGCCTAATTAATGTATCTTTCGGTGTCTCAGGTTTAAATTACGCACTGATTGCAGATAAAATATTTTTAATGCCTGGACATTTTTGTTCCTGATGAAACCTTTGAAAATGCCCATGTGCAAACCACAGTGGTTGCACATCATTAAAATGTCAGGGCTCGTTCATTTTTTTGAAAACCCTGATTCCATCCATTCATCCATGTATATCTGCTTATCTGGGGCTGGGTTGCAGGGGCAGCAGGCCAAGCAAGGCACCCCAACTAGACCCAATAAGATTCTGATCAAACCCTGATTGTTTGCATGAATTCAGTGCAATGCTTTGTTCAGTGCACAAAAACAAATAGAACTCAATCAAACTAAAAAACTTGTCATAAACAAAACAAACTGAAAACAATCAACTACGCATGGTTTACTTTTATTAAAGGCTTTTTAGGAACCAGTCACACATTTTTGCAGAGACGTCGGAGCCAAAATTGTGTCTGCTTGGCCTCAATAACCATGAAAAACACTGTACGCACTCCACCCTTTGAACCACACACAGCAGTGTATGCGTGAAAGCAAAAACTTCAAAGATGAACCTGGCAGTGCGATGACACCGTTAAAAGGAGCAGGACTGATGTGATGTAGGCGATTGTCATTGAAAACACACTCTTAACACAGGCAATGTTTTATTAAAACATATCTTCACCTTGAACGGCAGGTTTGACTTCACATGTCTGGCTCTCTACAGTCTTAACTTATCTGGCGGGGGGGTGTTACAGGGAAAGCAACTGATGACAAATGAGGAGGGAGAATTAAAGTCAGTCTGTTATTGAGAGGGAAAGGTGCTTCTAAAGAGGAAACACTGACATCAATTATAGCAAACTGAATAAGACTGTTTTTCTTTAAAAACAAAAAGCTTATAATTACATATTTCCCCACAACCCTCCTCTCTGCCCGCCTCCCACCCTCAAAAATGGCTCCCGAATCACAAAAAAACTGCCAAAAACAAAGCTCAGTGACGATCCCACAAAACGATAAACAACACATTTCAAGTCAGAGGAACCTGAATTGTCATGACAACCAGTGATTCATATGGCACAAGTTTCCCTCTTTAACTTTATAGACGGACAAAAGTCTCCAGTTCGTCATTGTCCTTCCACAGAATGCAACAATGCGTCGTCACCACAAAGTCTGTGTCGCAGCAGTAATCTGTCTTTACAAGGTGGATACGCGTAATGCCCCTTTAAAAACACCTGTCATAGCATGCCATTGGACTTCATATTCAGTAAAGGAAAGGTACAATAAAAACTATACATCTGTCAGCACAGAAATCTCCATAAATATATTAGACAACTGAACATCAGTCAGAGAAAACTTCCTGAAGAGCAGAAAGATGAGGGGTAAATGTCACCTGTACATAATCTACACCTGGCCTCGCTCCCGTCGTGACTGTTAAGCTATACTGTAGTTGTCTTGCATTACTGGCACAACACATTGAAAAGTAGTAAACACTTTTTTTTTTAAAACAGTTCATATTCCCCGCCTGAAATAAGATACAATAAATTAAAACACGAGAAGAGGTGAACAATAAAATAGGCTTCTCCAGTCGTTCTCATGCAAAACAAGACAGTGACGATCGGAACGGACGTGAATGCATGAACATCTGGATCACAAACGCACACTCGCACACATTAAAGTACACGCGGGATAAACTGGTGAAATGCACAAGGCATGTCTTCTTCTGTTCTTCCCACGTACACACAGTTGCCATTCCTTCAGTAGACCTATAAAATTAGACAGCTGATACGGGCTAGCCAGCGCCCTTCACATCATTGTAAGTTTCATTACAGTACATTACAAGTAAAGGAGGAAGAAAAGTCAAATTAAATACCTAGACAAGGCTTTGGACTAGAGGGGGGGGGAGAGAGGAGCAAATACAAAAACAACGATCAGTAGGAATTTTATAAAGTGGTTTTCCCTGTAACTGTACTCTCTATAGTAGTAAACATATCTTCACAGAGTAAACACACATCGAGGGA